AATAATAATAATAATAATAATAATACTATATTGGACTAAGGGTGTATGATGTGTGGTCATCATGAATTTGTAATGTATGACATGTTTCATATTCAGCCCTTTTGGGAGGTGACTTGATCAATGAAAATGTAAATGTATATACAGCCACACAGATGCACACACAACTCACCTCATGTTCCACCTTTATTACTGGAGGCATTAGCAGAGGATCATCTTCCTGCACATTTCTGACCTCCTCATTGTTCCCAACATGATTTCCATCACAAGAAGATGTTACACATGTCTCACTATATGAACTAGGTTCAGCTTTAAGTACATCCAAGCAGTTCTGTAAAATCACAATACCCTTATCATGACTGAGCTTCTCTTTACATGAAATAGGATACGCTTTCATTATAACCCTTGCTGCTGCATCAAACCGATAATAGCTGTTTCATACAGATTTTCATTACAACTACCAAAATAATCAATACTAAGTACTAACTCCACTGAGATGAATCCTTCGTGTGAAATTAATAGTTGCTCAGTCACTCAAGAAATCACTTGTTTCTATTCTGGAATTGAAACGTTTACCAACAGTTTCACGAGGGCCCATCACCTGTCCTTATCCTGAGCCAAACAAATCAAGTCCATACCCCCCCCCCCTCCACCTCATTTCTATAAGATGCAATTTAATGTTTTGCTCCTCTGTATTCACAGGCCCCCAAGTAATCGCTTTCTGCAGGTTCCGAGACTAAAACTATGCATGCATTTCTTGTCTCTCACACATGTGCTCTAATACCCGCCCATCTCATCTTTAATTTGATTATTCTTATCATATTTCATGAAAAGTACAAATTATGAAGGTCTTCAATATGTATTTTTCACCAGTCCCATATTAATTGCTTCTCTTAAGTCTGAACATGTTCTCTAGTCTTCTTTTCTCAAACACAGTTTTCTTAATGTGACAGACAAAAGTTCACATCCATAAAAAATAAAAGGCATATATTATATAGCATACTTCAATATTCATGTTTTCAGATAGTAGACGGAAAGACAACACTCTAAACATAATAGTAGCAAGCAGTATATCACATATGACACCACACCACCAACAAATTCAGCCTTCTTAAATGCTGATACAATTTTGATACATAAAAAGAAATGTCCCTAAGTGACGATAATCATTCCCATTGCAATTGCCATGGAAGAGTGTAAAATTAAGAACTGAGAAAGTATATAATTTTTTATTTAAAAATAAACTTTCCATATACAAGTGATACCCATTTATGCTTCAAAAGCCCAAGTGGATTTGCCATAACATGATGTAAAACATATCAAAGTGTCTCTTTCTAAATATTCCTTACACAGTATGGCTGCAATATAACCGCTGTAATAATCTGCCACCTCTTGAAATGGGGACAAAAACTTGTGTCAGTCCACAAAGCTGTCAACGTAAATAACCACCACGAATAAGAAAAATATGACCTCAATGTACACTGTACATTTTCTTGCATGGGCATGCTAGTACAATTTAAAACACACTTCCACATACAACTTACTCACTGCTATTATGAACACACAGCTAATTCCGAATCTCTGGTTTATGTCCTAATGCTCAGCCTTCAATTATACGTCTTGAAGGGTCAATTCTTTTACTGGCTTGCAAAGGTATTTAAACCATGTGGCAGCTCAGAGTTTAAAATTGTACGAGTCGACTAATACTTTAGCTTTCTAATTTTCATTTCATGCATCCTGTTGTGTTATAATTAGGGACAGGATTTTTATGCCTTAATAATCCCTTAAATATTGTAAGATGTTTTTGCCACTGTAGACGCTGTTCGGATTGTTAATTGTTTTATTTAACAACCTACAAGTCTTGGCTACAATTAATTCTAACAATGTTACAAGTTTATACACTTTACAAACCCTACAGACAAATCTGTCCACTCTGTCCTCAGTAGTCTACATGTATTCACAGTAAGATATGGGAATTATACAAGTGTCACTGTATTACACACTCCCAATTACTTCTCTTGTGAGCCAAGCATCTGCTTCTCAGGCTATTACTGATTATCATACGTTCCGGTATTCTTCTTTCCAGTCGGTTACTGTTCCATCCGCACTGTGTCACTCCTGCTCACACACTTCTAACTGCTCACTGCTGGCTAGATTCCAACTGTCTTCAGCAGCTGCTACACTTCAACTCAACTCAACTCAACTCAACTCAACTCAACTGTCTTCGGCGGCTGCTACACTTTAACTTGCTTCGTAGGCTGCTACGCTTAAAACTCGACTCAACTCAACTCAACTGTCTTCGTAGACAGTGTAGTTCTCTTATAAAGCCTAAGCTGGACAACAGGAAACGCCTCGCTTCCTTGTTGCCTAGTTGCCGTGTTTGCCTGTTACGTAATGGGTACCGCTGTTTATTACCGTCATCTCTAGCAACCACTGTTTACTCACTTTGCATAGCGACCAGTGTACTTGGACTTGGCTCACTTCGGCTCCACTTGGCACGTCACCACTGGCTGGAATGGGAGGGTGTTGAACTGCCTATTACCGTAGCAACGGCAACACTCCGAAAGTGCCACGTCACTGCTGGCAGGGTGAGGGGGTGTCCTCCATAGCGCAACATGTCACACTGCTCCCTCCTTAAGGCTGTTCATCCCGAATAGCCTAATGGTGCACCCCGTTTCTTTTCTTCCAAGGATGTGCTTTCTACGTCTCCTGTTATTTCGGCTACTCCTTGCAGAGACTGTTCTCCGGCCGTTACAACTGCTCCCCTCTTAAGACCAGCTCATCTCGAGAAGTTTCCTTTTAATTTGCCTAAAAGATCCAGTTGTATCACATTCATTTGTTGCACATGCACTCTTTTTCGGGAAGCCAGTACTTCTACATTACTAAAATATGCATATAAAAATTTATATCAAATATTAAAATTGATTTTACATTATTCTGAGACCAACAAATCAATATTTAAAGTTCATTTTTTGTGTTCACTGAATGATTCACTTGCAATAAAAGGTTATACTTAAATACAAATCATGTAACAAAGCCAACATATTTTATTACAAATTTAAAAAACCAATGGTACTCACATTTAGCTCTCCGAACTTTCAACTTCTCTTCTGTTGCAGTTCACAATTACTAAATGTTTTAGGTCTTCCATAGTTAGTCGCCTCCTATTGTCTTGAAAGATGTCCTTATAGCAGGAAAAACTTATTTCCATCTCACAGGAACTTGGGGGCGCATGTACAAAAGTTGCTATTTGCTACGCTGTTAGTGATTTTTTACTTGGCAATTCAGTATGTTTACCGGCTAAAATTTCTTCAATTTCACAAATTTGTTCATATCCTGGATTTTTTAAAGAATGCTGTGTACTTTTTCCTTTATTACCTCACCAACTCTTCCAGGAACTGAATTCAATTTGGAAACAGTGGTTCTGAACACACTTAACGACTGATACATAGTAGTATTGCTATTGCTTGCCTCCAGTGAGGAAATGGCGGATGAAAGATGAGAGAAGTGAGCAGATATATAGGAAAGATTAATTTCTAGTTCTGCATTTTTTATTACATCTTGGGCAATCTGAATTGATGCTGCACTTTTTGGATCAAAAGTATTCACGACATTCCATCTAAATGTTCGGTATAATAACTTGCTACACATAGCCACGTGCCTCAGCGCGTTAAAATTGGTTCTGGCAGAAGTGGAACACTCGGTGCTACTGCTTTAAAGGTTTCTTTTCTGTATGGCGCTTTAACAAATACATTCTTCACAGAAGACACCAACTTGTCAACAAGCGGAAAATTTGCACGAATTGTTTCTGCAACATGGTGCATCCCATGGGCAAGGCAAGTCAAATGTGTCATATTTGGAAATATAACTTTAAGAGCAGTACCGGCTTTCATCATATAACTTGCGGTATCAGTCACAAAGAGCAACACGCATTCATACTGAATGCCATTCGGCCATAGTAAATTCATGGAATTGATAAAAAATTCGGAAACTGCAGAGCTATTTGTGGTTTCAAATTGCTCTACCACACGAAGATATGGGGTAGACTGTTCATCTTTATTAAGGGATCCAACTATACAATTTGCAATAAACTGTCCCTCACAATCTTGTGTTTCATCGATTGATACCCACACAAAATTATCTTGAATCTTATCTCTAATGCTTTCAATTGTAAGATTGTGACACTGCTTTGTCGTATCCCAAGCTGAAGGTCCTGGCCCTTGACCAGGCAGCTGGAATACTCGCCTACAGATGAGCCGAGCAGATGCTGATCTGCTCAGGTTGCCGTGGAGCGCTGGATAAGGCATCGCTTAAGAGTATTTAGCTCAAAGAACAATCTTCGGTGGTTGGTGGATAAAGACTATTTATTTAAAGAACCACGAATACAATCTCCTTTGCCAAGACTTAGGAACACCCAAGGCAAGCGGTCTGCGTAGCACCGTTACTTCTCTGGATAAGTGTAAAGATGATGATTAGTCCCCTTTCCACTTAGTTTGCAGGAATATGTATAGGCTTCTACATTGAAGCCTCCCCCTGAAATGACGTAGATAGCGTCCTTACGTATTCTTTGTCTTGGCATTACAAGAAACACCTGTATAAACTAAGCTAGACTAAACGTAATCTCTGGTCTGTGTCACTCACTCCCTATTAGGGTCGCCATACATACACAACTTCCTTTGGCTCCCCCTCAGATAAACACATAAATATCCTTAACTAATTACTCTGACAGTGGGTTGGATTTTTAATATGTGGTTCGCAACCCACGGATACGAGAGCTTCACATAATTTTTGCGCACAGTAGATTCATCCGGCACTTTGCACTGTGTATACTTCTCTATGAAGTTTCTCAGAGTAGGATTGGTTAGTTTCCAAAGTAGAATATCTGCCGCTAAAAAGGCTTCGCATAAATCAAAGGAAAACTGTGAAAAACTATTATTAGAAAATTCACAAAGCAATTCTTGAACAGGAGCACTTGAAAGCTTTTTCACAACCGTTTTCTCACATGCTCGGCAATAAAGAATTTTGTTATCCATACTTATCATCGCTCCTTCGAACTCCCACTGATACAGCTGTAATGTACTTTTCTGACTTACTTTCACTTTCGGCATGACTATAGAAAGCTAAACTAACTTAACTACAGACTAGTCACCACTAATGTGAATGGCCCCCAGCTTCATATGAAGAAGCGTAACAAACATCATGGAGACTTCGGAAACAAATAAGTGAAGTCCCTTATCGGTTAAATAGTATTACGTTGATAGCGGCTACATGTGAAAGCTTCTAACTAATCTCTTCATGGCCACTTTGATGATACACAGATGAGGCAAGTTACGAGTAGAGGAATCAGGGAAGTCTAGTCCTGGGTATTGCATCAGAAACATGAATCATGATGAAATGTTGGGTTAAATATGCAACATATTCTAATACAGAAAAGAAAAATTGTATACACATGACCATGATTGAAAATTTGAACATAAAATTAAAAAATATATATGATAAACATTTTAAAAATGAAATATGCAGTATAAATAGAGATCTTCAAAAATATGATGCTTATTCATAAAACAGGCAAAATATGCATTTATGTGCACCATCAAACCATGTCCAAAATTTAAGAAATAAAGTAGTTCACACATATATCCAAATGAGCATACTTTCTGGTTGCAAGAAAGAAATATGCATTTGCATTAAAATCCGGTCCCTAGTTATAATATACAATTTATATATTAAAATCGTCACAACACAACAATATTACGGTCAGTGCCAAAGGCTATTAAAAGCCATCATAAGGCAAAATACATGGCTAACATACAATATATACCACTGAACTGCAGTACTAGTAAATTGGATACAATAATATTAATTACACTAAAATACTTGGCATAAAAATACAATAAATTAGAATATATAAAACAAAAGTTATAATATAAAAAAGAATAAAATTCTTCGAGTAATGTTTTACATCATTGTCCTGTCGCTTTCCCCACTTCTCCAACTTGGAAATTTCTTTTGTTCTCTCCTGCCTTTGCAGTTGGTATCTACCTAGATTTCGCACCTGGTGAGACATTAAGTCACAGTTTGCAACAGACTAAAGGAAGACCGTGCCATCTTGGGCTTGTAAACCCAGAAAAGTTGTTGTATTTCAAATTGTTCTTTAGTATATTCTATACTTCTTTTTGGAATTCTCTGTTGCCCTCACTTCCATGGTGTTATTTCAATTATTTAATTATTTGACCAGTTTCCTTTGTTTATGCTTAAAGCATTTAACTTGATATTATTTATTGCTTTCACATGTATCTTTTCACAGGCCTGAACCCTGCATAAGACTCAAACTACCCCCCCAAGATTTCAGTGTTTACTATTGTAATTATATGAGCATATTTTGTGTGTACACAGCTGCGAGTGGTATTTCTGTTCTCTCCTTTTAATATATACTCGACATCTTCATTGTTCTTATGTGTTANGCTCAGCTAACCTCTCGTATCCCATCACCATCATAGGGATACAACAGTTATTATGTTATAGTTCTACATTAGATGATCCTAGTCATGACTAGGAGTGTAATGAAAGTGAGCAGGAATAGGCTGTGGACTCCTCCCTTGCACCTCGATCCAATACAATTCTATATCACCATGTTGTTATGTGTCACACACATAAGGCTTCATCTAGTAAGGTAAAATATTCAATAAATACATCATATCTAATTCAGACCATGCAAACTGATCCTGTTCTGATATGACTGCACCATCACAGGAGCATAGAAGAACTCAACTATGAAGCTGCAGATATTTGGACTCTGTATAACTGTTCTCTGAGAGAAATGTTCGGTTTAAAGATGCAAAAATACTGTCTGAATTTCCCAAACTGAATGTCATATTATAAATGACATGAACAACACACAAACAAGAATATATGAAGTACCAGCGATAAATCTGAAAACATGGCTCACCTCAGGTTCAGTCATGTTTACAGAAAATGCTGACGGTGCGTAAATCTCATCCATTTTTATGCCAATGAAGTCTTCCTCAGCATCCACATCATTTTCTGCTTTAACTGTGTCAATGTTCTGCTGTAAATAAAGAAATAAAAAATAATTCTGCTGGATGTTACGTTTATTATGCTTTCAACACATATGAAAACCAAGAGACAAAATACATAACAGCGGATTCCACTGGTCATTATGTGATGGAACAATATGTGTATCTATTAGAAGAAAAACAAACTCCGTGACCTGTAGTCCGCATGCGAACTATACCGACCGAGCGACCACTGCTTTTCGGCGAAGTTAGCGCCAACTTTAGCAGATAGAGGGTGTCACGTGGTCAATGCAACGGATCCACACGGCCGTTATCAACTTCACAAAATTCACTCACAGTTCCACAGTATACCTTAAGTAGTATATGCCACTGTTCTCCATTCAGTCTCATGGTGAATGGGCAAGCATATTTCTGGAGCCTTGCATAAATGCTTACAGATCATACAGCTCTTATGCTTCCCACACAGAAGCAGAAAGTAAAAAAAAGTAAAGGTATCCATGTAACAGGCTGTGGAGGCCCATAGGGTTGTGAGATGTTGAGGTTCCCACAGCGATGGGTAGGTAAGTAAGTAAAGGTATCCCTGTAACAGGCTGTGGAGGCCCATAGGGTTGTGAGATGTTGAGGTTCCCACAGCTATGGGTATGTAAGTAAGTAAAGCTATCCCTGTAACAGGCCGTGGAGGCCCATAGGGTTGTGAGACATTGAGGTTCCCACATTTTCTAGACAATCGGCTCACAGATAACGGTGAGGTTGTCAGCCTTATGCGCCGGCTGCCCTTTACCCCCAAGAATATTCCTGGTACTCATTTCTGTTAGAGGCTGAGTCGACCCCAGGGCCAGGGAACAAGTTACTTTCTACTACACAAGAACAGAACACTTACCACGTTTCCCACTTGAGGATATATTTTTTCAAGTGTCTGCAATATAATTTTCGGCACTTTTGATCCAAGAGACTGCAGAGTATCTTGTAAGCTTGAAACTCGTTCATCACACATGATGGTGTGTGGACTATGTAAGAAACTGTTTACAAGAATCCAAATGATGCAGCTCCACTGTTTCGATAGTTCTGTCTAACTCTGAATATCTGTGCAATGTCCTGAAAACAAACTTACTGATTACAATTGGCATTTAATGGGGGGGGGGATTTTTTTAGGAGTTCACTTGAGAAACTTTTTTTAATCCTTTAACCCTGCATATTATTTTCTCACAATTTTCTTAAACTAACGCAATTTTTACGTAAAAATATTGAAAAAAAAAACAATAAAAATGCATTTTCATAGCCCAGTGAATGAAGTTGAATGATGCAGATAAAGGAAATTATTTCTTGATGTGGACAAAAGCTGCACTTTATGGTAATGGATGCTTGACTTCAGCCAAGTACTGCAGCAAAACAATTAATAACAAAAGTAGCACTGGCATATGTAAAAAAGTGGGGAATAAATACTTAAAATGTAAAATTAGCCAGTGTGACAAGCTTAATACGAACACTGAAAAGTTCAAAAAAATTACAAAGGGAAATGGAAGGGATTATGATTTGTGGCAACAAACTAATTGCTTATTAGTAAAAACAATGCAAACCCAATGCTCGTAAAAATCAAATGTCAAAATTCTGAAAAAGTAGTAATGAAATGTCACTGATTTAAAGACTGTGCTCATATGTATGCAGAAGTAACAGACTAAGACACCGTAACAATTGTAATTATGGTAAGTACAGTAACAGAGAAAACAGATGAATTTCTTGCATTAATTTTAGCACAGTGTGTATCTCACCTTCATTAAACACATTCAGAAATAAAGTAAAACAATTATTCTCTCAATATCATTGATGACAAATATTTCTCTGAGAACACTTTCATGTTAAAATTACAGTGTCCGCGCATGTCTGCTCTTAATTGCCAACAGCAAATTAGGAGACAAGAATTCAGTTGACACATAAAGAGTGTGGAAAATGCTTGGGCACCTTCACATCACTCCTACTGCAACTAGAACACATGCCTGAAATGACTGGCACATCATGCGGAAGAATGTGATCTACATAACCAACTCCAGATCTATATCTCTCGTGACAGGGAACGATAACCCTGGGAACAATAAATAGTATTATAAGAGTGGGCCAATAAGTGATTACCTTTTTCTGTTTCTTGCTGCTTAGATGCATCCTGTTAAATATCAAAAAAAGAAGGTAAATATTAAAGCTGTCCCTGTGCTTAGTTAATTACCACACTATGGAGATGTATGGGGGAGTGGTGGTATGGATCCACCATTTTTGACCTCAGCACCAAATGGAGGTAAATGGTAAGCTTCATGCCCTGGTCTCTTTACGTCTGGGAAAAGCACCCCCAGTATCCATTGAATAGAACGCTAGGTGGGCCCTAGAGCCTGTCTGGATGCTGTGAAGTAAAGAAAAACCTGCTTTCACGCTGGCATCTTGCTCAGCTTATTTGGACCTGAAGTCTGTTGTTCTTCCAAAACATCAGTTGACTTTTGATGGACTACATGGCATTATATCCCAGAAGATAGTACTTAAAAAGTCATATTGCTCTATGTGGAACTGGGTGCCACTGTGGTATAGAAATGTTTGATGCTCATTTCAACACAAGCTGGGCAATGCGCATGAACACAATTTTGAAGTCACACAAGAAGTCCTTAGAAGAAGGAACTGTGTTCGAGATAAAACAACTATGGTATCCACTGGCATGCGCTCCTCAGAATCCTGAAGAATTCCATATTGCAATGACAGGAAGCTCTAGAAAATTAGCACAGAAAGCATGCCAGCAGTTTCAAATTTCAAGGACACAAATATGATGAGTGCTACAAATGGATTTACATTTATTCCCTGACAAAATTCAGGTTTTCTAGACTCTACGGCACATAACTAAACACCATCACCTTCAGTTTAGCCAGCCTGGAACACTCAAGATAGAATTCTAAAACAGTGCATAACAAATGGTTCACAGATGAAGCACGTGTTCATTAGAATGGTATACTGAACAAACAAAACTGCAGAAGTGAAAACATTTTTGCAAGGCACAAGGCATGGTGTGCTCTCACTGGTCCATCCTGAAGAAATAATGACTGCAGAACACTATCCTGACATGATGAGAAACGACTGTTTGCCTCCCCTGTGGACAGATGTTTAAAAATGAAAACACAGTGGTTCTGGCAGGATTGGGTGACACCCAACAGTGCCTGGACTCTTCCTGATGTTCTTCTTCATGAGACACATCAAGAAAGTGCAATTTCACACAGATTTCCTCATCTGCAAACTGTGGGCACTCACGTCCACCTTTCAGCTTTGATTTCAGCCCATCATTTCAATTCAGAGAAACAGTGTGGAAATGTGCAGCACTATTAATGAGGACTTTTGTCACAGACTTGTTTCAAATGTGGTGCACAGTTTGCAGGAAGTGAAGGAACTCAAAAGCGAGAACAATAAACACATTTATACTGACTGATTAAGTCTAATCAGATCTAATTAAACTGTCATCATGAAATGTACATTTATGTCTTCATTTCATAGCTCATTCTTTCAGTACTCTTAACTGGTACTTCAGTCCTCATAACCTTTACCAACATCATAAAACAAAACATTAATAAATCAACATCAACAAAGTCCTACAAGAGCTGCACACAAGTCGCGAAGGGAATGCAGCTGAGATCTACAGTGGAGTAGAGTCTATACTGAGAATGTGGTAGATGCTAAGGTGTTCAAGAAATTCCTTGCCATTCGTGGAACTTGAAGCTTCTTTGCCATGTTAACAGTTGTGAAGAAAACAAACTTCAGGTTGGCAGTCCATTATAGGACCTAATTACCAGCCACATGAATCCAGTGTACACACTCATAACATATATCCTCAATGCTGACATTAATCATTTGTTCAAATGAAGACAGTGGTGGAATATGGTACAATTAAGCAGCCTTTCGCCTTCATTTAAAATTAAAAAAACAGAAGATCTGCCCTCATAGCATCATGCACTAGTTTGAAGAAAGCAGTCTTCTGGGATGTGGCTGCTTTCTTCATAGTCACCACCATGAAAACCTCAAATGTTACATGCACTATATTATATTTAAGCATCCTGTTGCACTTTATACGATATATGATATAACTCCGTCCTAAGTGCAAACTACATTTATAGGTCTTTCGTTTTTTCTTCTTTATACACTACATGTTTCGGCCCCAAACGGCCATCATCAGGTGTATACACTCACGTATCTGTTACACTGCACTTATTTATAACATTTAAAATTTAAAAACATAGGTCTTCCTGATTAGCACTTATAAAATCTTCGGTTCTAATTTGAAATCCTTTAAAAATTTTTTCTAAATTTTAAATTTTAAAAATGTCAGGGTTAATCGCCCTGTGTCTATAGTGCTGCAGCAGCTTCTTCTTGTTTCTAGTATTGTATAGGTGTTATTCTGTGTAGTCTTCTTGTGGGCGTGTCGCTGCTTATCTTTCAAATCAGAACCGAAGATTTTATAAGTTCTAATCAGGAAGACCTATGTTTTTAAATTTTAAATGTTATAAATAAGTGCAGTGTAACAGATACATGAATGTACACACCTGATGATGGCCGTTTGGGGCCGAAACATGTAGTGTATAAAGAAGAAAAAACAAAAGACCTATAAATGTAGTTTGCACTTAGGGCGGAGTTATATCATATATCTTACATGGACTAGTTTGTTTGTGGTTTAATGAATTATATTTTCAGTTGCACATACTATACAGCACTGAATAACAGGATGATTAATGGGTGTTGAACTGAGAGCAAAATAGAAGGAAGTGGCCATGGCTTATTTCAAGGCAATGTCCTGATATTTGCCTAGAGGGAGAAAGGTAAACCATGGAAAAATCTCAACCAGTTTAGCTGGTGTAATGGTCAAGATTCAAAACGAGCATTTCCTGAATACAAGTCAGATACTTTACTGTCTGGGCAAATTTGCTCAGTGCACTAACGTGTTAAATGAAATGGGCATCATCTCAATAATATTTAGTGAAGCAGGCAAATTAAGTTCCTCATTATGCAACATTCTCCTTTCTCCTGTCTCAGTTTCCTCCACAGCAATATGCTCTCTAATACCCTGAAACTACACTCATGCTTTAGAACAGTGGTTCCCAAGTGGCATCTGCAGTTCCCAAGGGAGCTGTGAAGGTTTCCTTCAGAGGCCACCAAACATGCTAACTGCTTGCCTATACACATAAACTGACATGAAAAGGCCTCATTAAATTACTAAAATACAATATAAAATAACTGACAAAAGTACTACATAGATATAATTACAATTCATTAGTAACTATTACTTTTAAATTCATAATTGACATTGCAAGTAACTTTTATAAGTTGAAGGCTTCAAAGAATTTTTTTCACACCACAGAAGCCTCAGGCCAGAAAAGTCTGAGAACTTCTGCCTTAGAGTGGGAGCTCAAGTTTCTCATCCATTTAAGGCACAGATTATCATAGGATCATCATCACTGGTACAACAGCCTTTTTTTGACCTCAAGCCTTCCTTAGAAGATTCTGCCAGGCTTGTCTATTCTCTCATTAATCAGACCATCAGATTTTCGCTTCTTTCGATTTTGCAACAGCAATTTTTTTTACACAACGAGGTTGTTACTCTTGCATCCGATAACAAACCTGGAGGACCAAGTACCTGCATTTACATCCCCCAGTGACAGGGTGGCCCACTCATGCCCCCAAGCACTACGTTCCCTTTCCATCGCCTTCTACGGCTCGCAGGGCTATGGTGAAGGTATTGTAAGCTGCATCCACACGGGACAAACAACAGGTTACGCATTTATATATATTAATCCTTATATTTTCATATAAGGCACTAAATGAAAGATTTATAACTAAATGGTAGGAGGAAATTAGTTGAATCTGATAAATTCTAAATTTTGGTTACCTTGACATAAACACAATTGTAAAAATAAATCAAAATCTCTAACACCAAACCAAATCTTTTACAATATGCTGCAGTACTTTTGAGGGAGTATAAGATTTGGTGACATAATTATAATACAAAAAATATATATATACAGTACTTCTGAGGGAGTACAGTTGTCATATCATAGGAAAGGCGTGGTGCCATAATTATAATAAAATATATATATAGACTAATGACATGATGAAGAAACATTCTGGCAAACAAAGATAAAAAACAGCATCAAAGAGACAAAGAACTTTGAAATAGCCTACAGGCAATTACAAAAGGAAGGACGACCAAGTGTGGGAGCAGCACAATAATAGGAATAGCAAATGCATATCACCAGGGAAATATGGCCACATTAGAATATTTAAATGTTTGAGACACCTCTGGAGAAATTGAAAACTGTGAAATGAATGAGCTACCACATCTATAAAACGAAGCCAACAAATATAGCAAAGACTGCAATGGATTACAAACCCCTGAATGAAAGACTTCGGAAAGAAATAAATGCACTCTTTTCTGTTCTAAATAAGCGCCTGAATTCCGGGGCCGCCTAAATGTAACTATGGTCATCAGGAGCAGATCATCCACGTGTGGGGTTTAGAACGAAGGTTAAATGCCTCATATCGTGGTCTGTGGGTTATAACACCGAGTAAACCTAAAGTGGCTAGCGTAGCTAAAGCTCCGGAGGCACAAACTGTTCCACACATCAGGGTTACAAGCCCAGACTACCGCGCCACATTATCATAGCCCTGACAACCACGATATCAATTTTCACTATCGTGAGAACTCCAAATACTACACTTACTTGTGATCCTGTGGGAATGAAACATTTTTGACTAAGTATCTCACAATCAAATTGCTGCCGTCTGCAGATTCTTACATAAACCTGCTGAGCAAAGAATAACAACGAATGAAATGTACAGCAACCCAAACAAATTTCATCCGCCATGCTTATTTCATCTGGGAATGTAGCGCAGTGGAGCGGGCAAATTGTGACATTATACTAACAGTAACGTGCACGGATCACTACCTTACCAACGCTTACCAATTTGACATTGTGCGATTTAGACACAATTCTGGATTAATAAACCACGGTGTGCCTACTAAACAGTAATCCATGGTACGGAGCTTTCAGGCTCCAAACGAACACGTCCTGTGAAGCATTAGTCGAAGATTCAACTATGTTTATAAACAAAGGAGTGCATTTGTGTCCAAGATGTTGTGATATTTAATTTCTCTCACGGTTAGTCGCTGGCTTCCCATCGCGGCGCCCCGAGTTCGATGCCGGGTCTGGTCAAGTGGGATTTGTGGTGGACAAACTGGCGCTTGGGCAGGTTTACTCCTAGTACTTCGGTTTCCCCTGCCAATCTTCATTCCACCAATTGCTCCACAATCACCCTCACATATCATCGTGGGCTGGTACAATAGGCCAGAAGTGGCCGCAGTACAAGGGACTTAGTCCTACTCCACTAGCGTAAAAGAAAATTTCTATCAACGCAAGGACCGGCAGTCAGTCCACATGATGTGATATGAAAAAAAGATGGTGTGGAAAAGACAATATTTAGAAGGTAGTGGTTACAACTTTAATGTTCGGTGATGTCCAACGAAATTGCCACTGCTAACCAACTGTGGTGGTCTGTGTTCTATGTATTATAATGATACTTAGCCTTCAGTTCTCTGTCATTTGCCATAATTCATATAGCTGAGTGGAGTGCCTATCACTTGTGTGGAATAACAGTATGCTATTCACTCTGGAGCTCATCATCTAACAGAAATGAGTACCAGGAATCTTCCTGGGGGATAAATAGTGATCGGCATGTAAGGCCAACTACCTAGATGTGGGAACCTCAACATCTCAGAACCCTATGGGCCTTTGTGGTCTGTTACAGGGATAGCTTTACCTTTACTTGCTCTGGAGGGTCTGTCATATGTTACTCACACATGCTAATGCAATGTACAGTTACACTGTTTGTATAGTTTGTAGCTTCAACTACTAAGTGAACATTCAAACAAAAAAAAAATTCTTAAAGCATAGAAATTATGCAGGCGTGTTCAATTCTGGATTAAGTCTAATGTGTTCTGACTAGTCCTTTCTAACATGAATGACTGAAACTTTCTCCCAACTTATCATTCCCATACTGCATGCTGAGTCACCTTAATTGTCACTTACCTGTGTCCAGTGTGATATGAACATACCATACATTTCTGTTCTCATTCACATCACTCCATCTCCAAGCATGCAAGTTCTAGCTATGTTTGACACACTACTGCTGGTTTGTCACCACCAATCATCCTGGCTTTCAATCAAACACAGAGGTCTATTTTGACCTTGTCATACCTCACCACAGTGGCAAGTAGTCAAAGTTCAACCCAAGTGATCATAACTTCCTCCACCCCAAAGGACAAAAATGAAACCCACAAATGGTAAAAAAACATTACAAATGAATGACAAAAACACTGAAACATACCTGTATAACACCATTAATAATTCTGTATTTCAGCATCCTGTTGCACATCTTTAATTAAACATCTATGTTTGAAGTCCAGCAATGATGCAACAACTATTAAAATATTCACCATTTAACACTAACATAACACTGACAGACGGGCATCCTCAGGTGTTTCAATGCGTCCGAACTGTTACACTGCTTTAATGTGTGCTAATATTGCGCATTGCAGTCCACTTAAAATAACATAAATAATTACAATTCATTAAAATTTTGTTTCATTTAAATCTTTTGTAAAATCCTATTCCACCTCAATGAATTGTAAGTAATTATTTATATTATTTTAAGTGGACTGCAATGCGTTTCTTTAGCGCGCATCAAAGCAGTGTAACAGTTTTTTTATTGCTAGTGGGGTGGGACTATGTCCCTTGTACTGCAGCCACTTCTGGCCTATTGTACCACCCCAGATAAATAGGTGAGGGCGATTGTGGAGCAATTGGTGGGATGAAGATTGGCAGGGAAAATGGAAGTACTCAGAGAAAACCTGCCCCAGCGCCACTTTTTCCACCACAAATCCCACTTGACCAGACTCGGGATCGAACCCGGGCCACTGCAGTGGGAAGCCAGCAACTAACCGCTTGAGGTATGGTGCGGCCCCAGTATAACAGTTTGGAAGTACTGAAACACCAGAAGATGGTCATCTGTTAATGTTGTGTTAGTGTTAAATGGTGAACATTTTAATGATTATTGCATCATTGACAGACTTGATAAACAGACGTTTAATTAAAGATGTGCTTCAGGATGCTGAAATACAGAATTATTAAATGTTTCAGTGTCAAAGACAAAAACAACAATGTCCAGTATGACTATTTAAGTTTTTCACTTGAAAACTCATCACCCTCACATGTTTCAGTCCCTACGGATCATACTCGGAGGGCATCAGTACTTTTTCTGGAAACTACTATTACAATAGGTGTTAAATTATATACATACACATATAATGTCTGAAATACACAATGTACATAATGTTCAACTTTTCACAGTCACAGCGGCCTTCCTGGTATTAAAAATTTTAAAGTTTTTTAAAAACTTTGTTGTTTAGGATTAAAATTTATAAACCATGCAGGTTCATGTCAATCTCCTATTGTCTTTCTTGGCGGTGGCTGATCTTGTTCTGCCTGTCTATCTTGAGAAAGGAGATTCTTAGTATTGTCCGTGTTTGTTTGTGGCTTGCTGTGTTGTTTACACTTAAATAGTCACACCAGACGGTGTTGTTTTTGTCTTTCTAATTGTTAGTGTCATGGACCAGAATGAAACAAATAAAAAAAAATGTTTCAGTGTGTTTGTCATTCATTTGTAATATTTTTTTTTTTTTTTTTTACCATTTGAGGGTAATACAGGTTCATAAATGGAGGTAAGGTTGTCAGTCTTACGCGCCAGCCATCTGTTATAGGCTGACTCGACCCCAGGGCCATAGTGCAGATGGAAGGATTAGGTAAATTGAAAAAATCCACCTCAGGATTTGATCCCGCGACCTTCCAGCTTGTAATATATAATGTATGTTACATATAAGAAGGCCATGGAAAATATTTTAGAGTCCTAAAATAATGTATAACCACATATAACGGTCTTGAGATAATTTCTATCTTGTATCCCTGAAGATAACACTGTAGATGTCTAGACATGTCAGGACAGTAATATTAATCTAAAGCTATGTCAAGAATTTGTGTTGTAACTGACTGTAATATGATAGATAATGTCTGTCTTTGGTTGGCCTCTTTGATCTACATTTGGATGAAACGGGTGTTGTAGGGGGAAGGGATAACCAGAGATGTGGACAACACAGACTATCATTCCTTTCTCCAAACAGCATGGGATTTATCTAACTCTTGTGATGAAATGGTGAAGTGACCAGCAAATACAACATACAACCTATGAAAAATTTTCAGTGGGAGAGAAATTATTAAGTTTATGCTGTGATCTTTTGCAGCAGCTGTGGCTAGAGTGTTAATTTTCCCAAATACATATTATTTTTATGTAAACCTGCAACTTAGGTGTACCAGTCTAGAAGAAGAGCAACATTATCTGAAATTTCTCGGATTCAATCAAATTAATAGATAACCTTCCACTCTCCAGATAGTGTACTGCTTTGGTAACTGTAACATCGCAAATTCATGATCAAATAATGAAGATTAGTGATAAGAAATGGAGTTTGGCTTAGTAACTGAATTAAATGAAGGCTTATAACTCCTAACTACTGGTAACCGTAACAGTTTCACGAATCTACACACTTTAAAAGATCATTACTCTAAACATCAAGGCTTCTATGACTTCACCAGGCATTGCTAGGTAACAGCTGTCAACAACAGGTATTTTCCTGCTTCTATACTCGTCTTTTCTGTATGGTAACTGTCTCACAACCAACTTAGTTGCTTTGACAGCTCTTGCTATATGAGGTGGTATCCATAAATTCCAGGATTGGAGCTGCCATCTGTATAGCAGTTGTAGTAGCGCGATGCAATGGTAGATGGTAGCACTAGCATATCTTGGGAGTCAGTGTCCAAAATTTCATGCAGCCAGGAGAATGTCTTGATTCTTTACATCCTCTTATTTGGAGTTGTGTATTTGGCCTGATGTGATTACGTGATGGATCCAAGGAAGGAACAGCGAGTGTGTCCCAAATTTTAGGAAAAGCTTAGGATAATTGTGACAGAGACCATGGCAATGATTAGACAAGCATTCAGGGAAGAAACCATGAGCCATTCACAGGATGTTTGAATGACATGCTTGATTCAGACGAACACTCAGGTAGGCCCATCAGCTGCACAATGCCCGACACTGTTGCCAAACTTCAACAGCTTGTTCGTGAGGATCCACATCGAACCATTCAAGACCTTGCTGATGAGATAGGAATTGGTTATGGGACACACCAACAGATTCTGACTGCTGAATTTGGCATGCATCATGTCACAGTTATGACCCCAAGACAAAGCAACAATCCTTCAAATGGAGAAGTCCAAACTCATGCAGACTGAAAAAGGCGAGACAGGTGAATAGCAAAGTCAAGAGCATGCTCATCATTTTCTTTGACATGAAGGGGATTATTCACAAAGAATTCATCCTGGCAGGCCAAACAGTCAAATCCACATACTACTGTGACGTTTTACAGCAACTGTGTGAAAAATGTGCAAAGACTTCGCCCTGAACTTTGGCAACACAAGAACTGGCTGTTGCATTATGACAACACACCGTCTCACACTTCTTTTTTCACCAAAAAAAACTAGACTGCTGTCCCCACCCACCCTACTCGCCTGACTTGGCCCCTGTGACTTCTCTGTTTCCCTGATTGGAAGCAAAACTGAGAGGCTGCCATTTTGACTCAACTGAGGTGAGCAAGACAATAGCAGGTGGTGCTGAACACCCTCACAGAACATGATTTCCAGGGTGAATTTAAAAAATGGCAGAAGCACTGAGTACAGTGTATACACATGGAAGTGCACTACTTCAAGAGTGATGGTGGCCAGTATGCCCAAAGTTAGTTTTTGACCAGATGGAAACACCAGTCCTGGAAATTATGGATCCTACCTCATACAGCCTCAGCATGGACTGCACAGAAAACACCGCTTCCAACAGTTCTTTGACTGTTGTCGCAGGCCATTTCCCAGCAATGACACGTGACAATATATACACATGCACGCACATAACATGTATGTTGATATTTATTCATTTCACTCTCATAACTTGCTACATAATTCATATCATTATGGGTGCTCCACATCATGTATGTACTCAGGACACTTCAAAAGATTACTCTTTTTGCTGAATAGCATTTCACATTGCAGGGATATGATCATTTTCCATTATGTCTGCGTTGGTGCCTGTTCATATTACTCTTATTAATGAATGCCTTACTACATACATCACAGGAATACAGACGCTCCCCTCTATGCATGCGCTGATGTTCATTCAAATCACGCTTATTCCTAAATGACTTATTACAAGCATCACAACAATATGGTCGCTCCCCACTGTGTATGCGTTGATGTGTCTTCAAATCACTCTTTTTACTGAATGACTTCTTACATACATCACAGGAAAATGGCCGCTCCCCACTGTGTATGCGTAGATGTACCTTCAGAACTCCCCCGTCATTGAATGACTTCTTACACAAATCACACGAATATGGACGTTCACCACTATGTATGCGTTGATGTCTCTTGAGAGCACTCTTAACACTGAACAACTTCTTACAGACATCACAGTGATAAGGGCGTTCCCCTGTATGCGTACGGTGATGTTCACTGAGATTACTCTCATTCCTGAAAGATTTACTGCACACATCACAATGATATGGACGCTCCCCACTATGTATGCGTTGATGTCTTTTCATATTACGCTTAGTACTAAATGACTTACTACACACATCACAGGAATATGCTCGTTTCCCACTATGTACAACCTGATGTCTCTTCAAATTACTCTGTGCATGGAATGATTTATTACACACACCACAGGAATACGGACGCTCTGCATCATGCATGAGGTGATCATCCAGTGTACTCTGGTAAGAAAGAAGGAGACAAATATATGGATAAATCTCAATAAGAAGAAGAATGGGTATAAAAGTAAGGTACAAATAAAGTAATTATATTTACTGTTACATTATCTATGAATTGTGTTCACTACTGTACATCATTACAAGACTTAAACTTCAGTGCATTGTGTGCTGCTTATTTTGAAAGATTCACATGCCCTATATTCTTTCATAACACTGTAATTTATATGAGGATTAGCATGTTAAAGACACTTTGGAGCTTTTCACTGAAGAATTATCTGAAGAAGAAAGGCACACATATTTTCAGAACTCTCACAGTATCACCACTATTAGGGGGTCTCCTACACAGTATTCATAGGTTATTAAGATCTCCCACATCAACACTGATACTTGTGGAACAGTTTACCTTAATTATTCTTTCTTTCAACCATCCAATCATTTTTCTTTCATGTGTCATCTAATGATTCTGTTGTGGAATAAAAAGTGGCAGTGAAACTTACGTATTCAGGGAAAACCTGCCCCAGTACCATTTTGATGACCACAAATCCCACATTAACTGACCTGAGATCAAACCTGGGTCAATGCAATGGGAAGCTGGCAACTAACTGCCTGAGCTATGGCATGGACCATTTAGTCATTTATGCCAATATTCCATACTGTCCAAAATCTATGGACTATCAAAACCAAAGCTTCACCTCAATTTCAAAACACCTCCAATGGTGACAAACACCTGGAAGACACAACCAAAAGATTTAACTGCCCCTGCCCCTTCTCTCAATTTACTTATTCGAGCCGTGAAGTCGGGAGAAGCAGCCTGTCGTCACTGGCTTGACTGCTGTGTTTACAAGCTCCCCAAGATATTCATGGGGTATCCAAGCAATACGGAGAAGCTACAGCAAGACGTCGGCCTTTCAGATAGCAAATAACAAAGTTTAATGAACAACATAACAGACTTACACAGAATATACAAAAAAAAAAAATACATAATCAAGGCACAAACGGGGCACAACCCAAATCAATGATGCGCAGCAATCACTTGTCGCCAACAGTCACAACAGAGAATAAACTAACCTGCCCCAGTTTCACTAACTTCATTCAGGCGTTAACCAGGTTACTCCAGAAAAACACAAATAATAATAATGATAATAAAAACAGAAAATAAATCAATGCATGCACTGCAATCGTTCTAAAGCCAATGGCTTGCGATCACAGGCAGCCTTTACCTTACCAGCCAGCCACGGAAGATTTACCGAATGCAATTTAGAGGTACCAGGTTGAAACAGAATTTCCAGTAGCAATCACCCGCTGGCTGGTAAACATCCAGTTATGACTACATAGCATCACAGACGGCGCAGCAGGTCTTCTTTCCGTCCGCGACATGGATAGGTCATGTGATACATAGACATCACGAGGATAATACATCAACATATATGGGTGTAGATGGAATGTAGGAATGGCAGACACCATGATATCATTCACAAGAGCCAGCTGACCTTCAGCGCAGCTCAAGATCATGGAACAAAAGTCCTCATTGAGAATGTAACGGGTGCTCAACTAGTCAAGAAGTTCCCCATCTTTTATGAACTAAAAGTTCATTATCATCCCCACAAAAGCCTGCCAACAGCCTGTGTCCTGAACCAAATGAAGCCACTCTATGCCCTCACATCCTACAGCTTTAGGTTGATTTTAACATCATAAAGTGTATAGCTAGACAACGGCGCAATAAACATCTCCTCGCATAAGCACAATCAACAAGAGGACAATGTTTATAGCTCAATACTAGGCAACAGTCAGCACACCAATGGACTGATGAGACAGATATGACATGATGTATTTTCTGTGTGGTCTGCATCATCAACAATAGGACTGTATTTCCTATGCGGTCCATGCTGTGAGCGATAAGTTCAGAGCAAATTGGAATCAGGAATATAGAAGAATACAGGAGGTTGGCCTGTGAGGATTTAAAGTGCGATTTGAAGGCTTTGTTTATGTGTAATACTTGGAGTATGTAATCCAGTGAGATTTGCAACATCTTGCTACATAAGTTGTATTAACAGTGGAATTTGTTTCATTTTTTTTTCCTTGGCACTACAGCCCCAGTGGGCCTAGGCCTACCTCCATGAACTCCATTCACTTCAGTTTTTCTAGATCTTACACATACGGTAGGACTCCTTGGGCGAGTGATCAGCTTGTCGCAAGGCCTCTACCTGTAGACAAACACAGAAAAACCCACACAAACATCCATGCCCTGAGTGGGATTCGAACCCACGATCTCGGCTTCTGAGCGAGCGAAGACAGTGCATGCCTTAGACCGCTCGGCTGCCGTGACCGGCATTTGTTTTATTAGTTCAACAAAATACATCCCTCTTTAACACATTTTTGAAAGGACTATTCAAAATTTTTCCAGCTGGATGGACTTGCCTCATGTGGAGAGACAGACAGATGGAGTTGTGTAAGAGAAAAGGCAATATCTGTGAAACAAGCCTAACACCTCTGTACCTATATCCACACACAACTGACCTCATGTTCAACTGTTTTTACTGGAAATGGCATCAGCAGAGGGTCCTCCTCTTCTTGCACATTTGTGACCTCCCGACTTCCATTGTGAGAGGACGTAACATATGTCTCGCTATATGAATCAGGTTCAACTTTCAGTAAAACCATGCAGTTCTGCAAAACCACAATACAATTACGACTGTCTCCTCATTATATGAAACAGAGTATATTCTCATTACAACCTGTTGTGAGGCATGAAACCGACAACAGTGTTTTGTAGATATTTTCTTCGTTACAACTATCAGTATCATCACTAACTACCAGTAATGAGTAAACTGTCTTACTATACAAATACAGATGGTATCCAAATTATAAATGAAATAATTTTTTATTTTCATAGTCAAAACAAAGCTTAATGGGAAGGCTGGACAAAAAATCTATGCAAGATTTCTGTGTCATAACATTTGCCAAGTTACTCAGTATCTCAAATTGATATTTTCAGATTGGAGATTAGGAAACGCTCTACGGCTGTGACATCCTGTAGTTTGGTTAGGAAAAGCACTGTATCTGGGATATGTCCAGTAGTTTGGTTAGGAAAAGCACTGTATCTGGGATATGATGTTCAGCAGTTTGGTGAAAGTTCACCAGTGCTTCAGAGGAATGTCCTAACTCTACTGTCAGGGATGAAGTAACCAACAAGAAGCATGAAAAAAGTACTGTAATAAATATGAAGGTACTACATTCCTCTGAAACATCTGTGAATTTCAACTGGACTACATGGTATCATATCCCACTGACAGCTTAATTTCATTTATCTTGAAACCAATGTAGGAGGAAGCAGAAGTGAAACTCCATAAGCACTGTTCTATAAATTACAGAGACACTGCTGAAAAGATTTTTCAAAATCCATTCACCAGAGTGAAGTCATTTCATGTTCAAAAGATAAGAAAATGAGAAAGAGGGCAGGCAATTTTGGATGTGTGAAATGGACTTAATTATATACACATACACATGCATGTCCACACACATATGCATTGCACCTCATGTTCAGCCTTTATTACTGGACACATCAGCAGGGGATCCTCCTCTTGTACATTTCTGACTTCCTGATTTCCATCATGAGAAGATGTTAGACATTCCTCACTACATGAACCAGGTTCAACTTTCAACAAATCCACGCAGTTCTGCAAAACCACAACACTCGTATCAACCATAATTGTTCTTCATTACTTGAAATAGGATACATTTAACATTACAACTTCAACCTTGTACATTGCATCAAACTGTTAAGAGCTCTTTTGTACAGATTTTCTTCATTGTAAGTATAAAACTCATTACTAACTAAAATCAAGAAGAACCCTTCTTGAAAAACTAATAGTTCCTCAGTTACTCAATGAATTACTTACCTTTTAGTCTGGAACTTTAAGGTTTGTTACCAGGTACATGAAAGATCACTTGCCCCTACCCTGAGCCAAACAAGTCCCATTCATATATTTCCACTTCACGTTTCGGAGACTGGATTCTGTCTCCATCTTCAGGCAAAACCTACTCAGTTGGGTCCAATCGATAGAGCTATTCCTTATCTTCTGACATCTGTGCATCCCCAAGATAGGGGATACAAGCTGAACACATCACAAACCATCTGCGAGAGCTAAGAAAACATTAAATTATTAAAACTCCACATATATAAGCCCTTACACCAGAGAAGTATCATGATAGAAATCACTGGAAAGAAGCAATACTCCTTATCGTATAAAAAAAACTCTGTGGTTTTAGTCTGCAAGGGAACTTATCAACACAAGGAAAACAAATTTTCCCACTTGACCTGCTGTGATAACAGGTGTTGAGATTGGAGATATGTCCAAGCTGGGTTGACTGACTGGATGGTCCAGCAGAGATATATGGGCTGACTCTTTGTATTTCCTGTATGTGGTGTTGGGCTCAATCTGCAAGACCTTCTCTTCATTCCAACATATTTTGTGGCCTTCCTCATATGCATGTTGGGCTAATCTTCATTTTTCTAGCAAACCCTACGTCATGTTATATTTGTGCTCCTTGATGCATACTTATAAATGTCTGCTTGTTTCACCGATGTAACATCTGCCAATCACATAGGATGCTGTAAACACGCTACTTCCTCTGCTGGGCATCTCTAACCAGTCCAGGTTTGTCAATGTCCCACAGAGTGTAGGTGCACTCTTGAAAATGGTTCTTTTTTCACCACAGTTCCCAATGCATCTCAATTTTCTAAAATTTTATGTTTTTAGATAAAGACAGGGTGATGGATAATGTCCAAAAACATTATATTTGTACTAATGTACCATCATCACAAACTTTTAGATCTTATTTTTAAACCCAGTATGGACCTGATATACAGTAAAACTTGGTTATAGCAACATCGGTTTCTGCGACACCTTGTCTATTGCGTCAAATATTCAATGGTACGAACTAATTCCTCATAAAGCAACTGTTTTTATACCTTGCTTAGTACGACATGCACAAATGCATCAACCTCGTATGTAACGTCATTTTCATTCCTGAAT